AAAACAAACAAAAAATATGTATATTCACAAACACAAAGACAGACATACAGAGCTTGACAAGGCATGTATGTAAAAAAAAAAAAATATATAGCAAACCAAATAAGGATAATTTCAGTGTTAACATTTTGCAGATAATCTGTTGGATGTGAAATATGGAAGAAAGACATAATAGGAAAAAATATAATAACAATAATGATGATGATACTAATAATAATACATTTATTGTCAAGAAACAATTATTATTTTTCTCTGTAATATTATAATATCTCTGTAATTCTCTGTAATATAAAACACAAATAAGAAAGATGTACAATTCAAGCATTTATACTGTAAGCTTTTTTTTTATATGTCTTTATTGCAGATAATTTATTTCCTCAGAGACATTTAAGATGAGTGCTGCAGTAGGTAGTAAAATACAGTGGGGTGCCATGCATCTCTCGAACAAGCATAATAACAACATAGTAAACACATAGCAACATAAATGCAATGTCCTCTCCTTTCCACACTAAATATCAAGAGATGCAGTGCCACATATTTTCATAAGCAAACTGACTAGTGCTAATCTACATATTGTGTTTTTACATCTTCCCTCAGATGTTGCTCATAAGAACAGGTGCGTAATATGCCATTATTGACTTAGCACTATAGTGCTACTACACATTAGTCGTCCATGTTTACATGCTTATAGCCATTCCAGTTGGTAAGTGTAAACACTGTATAATCCATGCTCATATATATTTTAATATTAGATCATAACATAACTTATTGTATCATCAACCAAATACAGTTATAATGTTTGTTGCCTTTGGTTATAACTACAATCTTTTATTTTTGTTACTTTGTGTAGGAGCCTGAGGAAACCACAGAAGTTACTTGTGAGCGAGATCAGCTTAAACCATGTGATGGTCCAACTTCCTCTTCTGAAGAATCAAAGCTTTTAACGGGTAAAAAATGTCTAAATATGAACATGTGTTATTAAAAGTGCAGAATATTTTCACACTTTAAACTTAATTTGCAGCAGACCGAGGAAGCCCAGTCCCAGCAGATGTCTCATGTTCATCTGATGCTTCAGATGCTGTTATATCTGTACATGGCCAGATGCAACCACAAAATAAAAATTTTGATTTGATCAGAGAAAAGTAAGTGTTCTTTAAAACTGTGGTTCATATTTTTGTTTAATTTGTCTAAGTCTTACATCTGGTTGGTGTTTTAATATTTCATTTTAATTGATATTCAGAGCCGCACTTGTGCAGACGAAAGGAAAGTATGTTGTGAATGAAAAACGCCTCCTCCAGTTGTTCAGCCACAAGTGCCCATTATGTGGCTCTGAAGTCAAGACAGAAAAGGTCACCCATGGGGTGGTCATCATCTTGAACCAACAGTGCCTGCAGTGTGAGTACAGAAATCAGTGGAAAAGCCAAGTCAATGCTAAAGTCCCAACAGCTGAAGATCAGCACTTGACAGGAGGCACAGAAGTAACTCTAGAGACCCAACAGGTGAGACTTAAATAGTCAAATGTACTACAACATATCCAGACACTCTGCTTGAAGTTTAAGAATTGTGAATCCACAGAAAATGTCTTTAGGAAAACCATACACACGCAACACTGTTCAGTGTTTTCTACACCATATTTTGTGGGTTTATAGACTGTTAAGAGAGAATTATAAATCCGCTTGCACCTTTGTCTTTTTTATTTGTAATATTCAAAACAGTTACTCATACCCATTCCTGTCATTTTCTCACAGGCAGCGCCAACAGATGACACCCATATCCCAGGGGTCCCTCAGGTTGATGCTGTTATTGATGAGGAGAATGACACCATGGATGAATCGAGTGATCAGGATGACGTGGATTCAGACGAAGATTGGAAGCCAGCGAAGCATTTCTTGGTGCGTGGAGTGCTTAAAAAGACACCTGACGACAAAATCAAAGATCAAGATGATGTTCCTCCTCCACCTGCCCCCAAAAACAGTGAGCTCTGCACAGAGTGTGGGACATTTTTTAATAAACAGAAGCCTCACACATGTGAGCACAAGATTAAACCCTATTCCTGCAGTATTTGTGGTAAGAGATGTGTCAGTGAGACTGCTTTAAATACTCACAGCAGAATCCACAATGAAAACTACGAACATCGGTGCAAATTCTGTCACGCTACTTTCAAAACAAAGGCGGGCAAAGTCACACATGAGCAGGTTCACGTAACTCAAGGAAAACCTTACAAATGTCCAGATTGTTCAGACACATTTGCCACAAACAAGGAACGCAGAATCCACCTGGAGGATCACAGAGGCCCCCCGCAGTTAAAATGTGACATTTGTGGAACTGAATTCCTCTGGCCACTTTCTCTCCAGAGACACTTAGCTGTGCACACAGGACTGAAGCCGTTTAAGTGTTCAGTGTGCCAACGAGGCTTCAACCAGGCGAGCCACCTGAAATCCCACATGCGTCTGCACACAGGGGAGAGACCTTTTAAATGTCAGCATTGTGGTGAACGCTTCAATCACAATGTGAGCTTAAAGAGTCACGTCCAGCGTTACCACACATCCGATTCTGGTCATGAACCGAAGAAGATTAACACTGAGGAAGAGGAAGACCCAGACTCAGAAGATGAAGTGCAGAAGAGAACATATAGACCTAAAAATAAAAGGAAAACCACAGGTAGGCCCATAGGAAGACCTAAGAGCCATGAACCAAGCAACTTACAGGAAGGCCAGTGTTCAAACACCAATACTGGAAATCTACAAGGGCAGATGTTAAAAAGAGCACAATGCAGTGATGAAGAAAGTAAGGACAGTGGCACAGCCTTTGATTCAGCAGAGGCGGAGGAGAAGAGCTGCAAGGAGGCGACAAAGAAAAATTCTGATAGTGACTCAGATTTTGACCCAGAAAAGAGAAAGAAAAAAAGGAACAGCAGCCAGAGCGGCGGTAAAAGCTCTGGGAAGCGTAGAGGAAAACCATGTAAGAGTGTTGAAGAAGAGTCTTAAAATGAATTTTAATCAGTCAATTTGGTTTGGGGGATAAACTCTTGTTCACCCAGGAGACTTGTGCACCCCATATAGGCTGAGTCCTCTGCAGCAGCCCGGGCCCTTTCCTGTCACTCTTCAGCTTCACTATAATAAAGGCAAAAAAGCCCTAAAAATAATTGATTTAAACAATTGTGAAACAAACACACATAAAGTGGACTGATTTCCTAAAAAGAAAATATGACAAAGCAAGTGCAGTTAGGCCAGGGTGTGAGTCAAATTTCATTGCTTGCCTTTTACCGTTAAGTGAAGGTGTTGCTTTGATTTTAACTGTTGGGAACTTTTGAAATGTAGTAGCTTACAGATTAGTTACCCTGTTTAAAAAGGTAATAAGTATTTCAATTACTTGATCAAAGTAATGTAAATTAATATTGTACTTATGAGTACTTTAAAAACATAAGTGCATAAATGTTGTACTGAAATTTGTTCTGAGGGCTTTGCTGACCTGCATTGTCCAAAAATATGCCAAAAGAAGAAATACCTGCATGGCGGAAAGATGCAAAACAACAGAATTAATTAAATTAACTTTACCCAAACCCTTTTTAATCCATAATATTTTAAGTAACTGTAATTACATATTTTTTCTCCATAACTATAAGTGATTACAAGTAAATTAATTTAATGACATAACTCTGATACATGTAACTTGTGACTGCCCAACACTGAATTTCAAGATACTTTTTATTCCTGTTACCTGATGTGTATACTATGAGATCAGAGTGGATTAAAGTATATTAAACAGGGCTGCTGTGACACCACTGAACCTCAGAAGGGTTTGAATGTGTATTTACACATTTTTGTGGCAACAGGGGGCAAAAGGAGGTTCTTCAAATAACCTCCTCTATGAAGGGATCTCTAAAGAACCAACAAAGATGTCTAAAAGAATCATCAATAAAGGGTTCCCAATTGTTTCCCAACAAACTTGTGGAAAACCCTGATCTTTAGAAAGTTATTTGTTAACACAACAAAATGTAATATGTAATGTGTGCTGTACATTATAGAGGGGGAATGCACTTTGTGGCAGACTGAAAATGTAGTCTGTATCCCACTTTAACTTGTGCTGGGAAAGCAGAAACTCCATATTCACAGAGGTCATAAGACATGATCTGAAATAAACACAAAACAAAATACTTGATGGTAGGGCCGTGTGGTGCATTATGGAGGAGGTTACGTATTTTGGCAGACTGTATGTCCAGTGTGGTAGGACAAACCTCTAAGGTCAGGTGTGTAGGATTTAGGGGCATCTATTGACAGACATGGTATATAATATTTATACTTACTTAGGGTGAAATCAAAGCATAATGTCCACCTTCATTGTATACATGTGCGCAAATACAATTCCTCTTAAGAGGATGGTTTCTTCTTCTCCTGCTGCTGCTTCTTCTGCTGCTGCTGCCTCTTCTCCTTCTTCATCTTCTTCTTCCCCCTCCTCCTTCTCCTCCTCCTCTCCTTCCTCTCCTTCTAATAAAGTTCCGGCAGGCTGTACGCTCCATTTCCGTACGCCGGTGCACCGCTGTACAAGCACCGGGGAGAGCCCGGGTGGCTGTTTAAATGGGAGTGTAATCATGAGTTTAATCTGTCAGCCAGTGGCAGCAACCACACCAGCAAACAATCAACACAATCTATGATTCAGCTTATTGAAACTAACTCTTGTGTGTTCCTGAGTAAAGTTAGAAAACTGAACTGTACAGATGAGAATATCTCTGTGGAAAGTATGTGAATTACTAAATATTTGTTTTGTCTTATAATGTAAAAAACGACAGCTGTCAAATGGTTTTCTGCCTCCCTGTATTGAGTGCACCGCAGGCGTACACCGATGGCGAAGTAATGGTGCGGACCCTTTTTCCCCCCCATGACCCGCCGTACTCTGCTTCGGATCTAACCTTAACCAATCACACGCCTCATACATAAGCCCAACCAATCAAACCAACACAGCTAGCGACTGTAGCCAATCAGAGGGAGAGGGGGGCGGGTCAAGCCACCGTGGAACAGACATGGCTCCTATCTGTGTCAGCTTCTGTCCATTTGGGACGTTGTGATGGGAGTCCTCGTCGAGCTTTGTTTTCCAGTCACCGGAAACATCGAACTGTTAAATCTACTTTACATTTATAGAGACGAAACTTAAACCCAGGATGTGCTCCGTCCTCGGATGTAGCTCGTGGCGTCGCGGTGCGCAACGGTTCAAGTTACCGGAGGATCCAGAGAGGAGGCTGGAGTGGGTCCAGTTCATTCTGGAAGTCAACGGTCAGCGGCTGAAAGAATCGTCCTGGACTGATATCACCATCTGCAGACACCATTTCACTGAGGACTGTTTCATAAACCAGACTCAAAGCGGGACGGTCCAGCTGAAGTCCGGTGCTGTCCCATCACTGTGTGTCAAGTCAGACCCCGACGAGCCTGAACCGGATCCGGTGAGACAGCAAACATGTTAAATTAACCACTCTAATACATAGAAATTCAAGTTACCTATTCCTACTGACACAGCATATCAAATGCTACACACTGCTGTTGACACCATATTTGCTTCCGGGGTTGTTTGTTTTGACACATCCTGTTGAGTGGACGGAGTTTATTTACAGTTCATTTAAAGGCGCTATCACGGACTATTAATTGCTTATTAAATTAACACATCATTTAAATTAATTATTACAATGTAGGCCAGAGTCACAGCACAAATATAACTGCCAAGTGCAGTAGGCAGTTTGGTAATTTGTTATTTTATTTTTTTTATTTTAGGTATTTATTTTATTGAATACAGTAACGGCACACTAACAAACCAGGGTTGCCATAAAACTTCAAGTAATAGCCCAGGCTATTAATTGCACCCAGCATGCCGACACAATACCCCGTCATCCTGTTAACCTTTTGAAACCTGCAGCAAATTGGCTTGATTTCTTTTAAAAACATGGGAAAAAGGCAACGAGTTAAATGACTAAAAAAATGCAATAAATTAGTTAAAAAAAAGAAAAGAAAAGAAAAAAATAATAAAAAACTACAAAAATAGTTTACAAAAAAAGAAGTTAAAATGACCTGAGAAGAGTGTGTAAAAATATAATTCTGTAAAATGTAATAATAATAAAAATAATTGTAAATATAGTTTGCCCCTGAGCTTTTTTTCCCTAGTTTTATTTTATTTTATTTTACTTTATTTTTTATAAATATTATTAATAATAAAAAAAAAATCTAAATCTATTTTTTTTCTTTCTTTTGCAATTAGTGGGACATTTTTTAACCAAGTTGCTGATTGCCATTTTCCCATATTTTTGACAGATATTGCACCAGTCAGCTCAGGGTTCAAAGGTTTAAATAGTTGTGAAAGGCGTCTGAAAGCAACACAAGAAAAGTGATGTCACTTAAGGTGTCAAAGGGTTAAAACAACTTGGATTTATTTTTTTGATCTTTTGATATGAGGATCCTTATGTACTAATGTACAGGGAAATCGAGGAATGGACAGATAATTTGAGGCAGCCAACAGCAAGCTTTTATACATCGGAAGAACTTATACTAAAGAAAATGAACTGCTTGGCAACCAGACCAGGCCTCTAATTGAGACAAGCCTTTATTTGTCAAAATGTGTAGTCACATCAGGCTAGTAAAAGGGACTGGGTGTTTAATTGGGACTTTTATCAGCATATCAACCTAGCCCTATATTACTGTTGATACTGTATAGTGAGCACTTGCCATGTCTTTGGTGTAGAGATAATAACATTTACATACCTACTGAGCCATTCAACATTAATATTGACAGTAAATCTTAATTTTTTTCATATGAAATTAATCACGTAGAACTGTAAGGTAATGGAAACATCAGTCAAACAGAACTTCTGGTGTGTTCTCTGTAAATGTTGGTACAACTCATAGACAGCCTGTGCTACAACTATAAGCTTCTCCTTTTATGACTTTGTGTAGGAGCCTATAGAAACCAGAGAAGCTGCTTCTCAGTGCGATCAGCCTGAAACATGTGATAGTCCATCTTCCTCCTCTGAAGAATCAGAGCAATTTTCAAACGGTAAGAAATTTGATGTTTTTATGTGGTAAAAAAAATATGGATGGGGTGTTCACTCAAATGTGTTTGCTTGAAGTGAGCAATGAGGGCTAAATTTAATTTGCAGCTGCCCAAGGAAGCCCCGCACCATGTGAAGCTTCAGACGTGGTCATGCCTGATAATGGTCAGATGCTGCAAAACATTGAAAACTTTGATATGATCAGGAAAAAGTGAGTTCATCTTTCTTTCAACAGTTGGACTTCAATTACACCTTTAAAGCTGTATCTCACCATGGTTTGTGTACCTCATTTTTCAGAGCTGCACTTCTGCAGATGAAAGGGAAGTACGTTGTGAACGAGAAACGTCTCCTCCAGTTGTTCAGCCACAAGTGCCCGTTGTGTGGCTCTAAATTAAAGATGGAGAAGGTCACCTATGGGGTGGTCATCATCTTGAACCAACAGTGCCTCAAGTGTAAATACAGACACCAATGGAAAAACCAACTCAATGCTAAAGCCCCAACAGGTGAAGAGCAAGACCTGATGGAAGTAGTGGAAGTAGACTTAACTCCAGAGGGCCAACAGGTAGGACTAATAGGCACATACCACAACATATCCAGACACGCCATCTTAAAACATAAAGGGTAACTTCTGTATTTTTCAATCTGGACCCTATGTTCCCATGTTTTTTTGTGTTGGGGCTGTTATACTAAAAAGTTCCTACTCTTTAACAAAAAGTCGAACACTGTAGGAATCATTTTTATAATGATGTCTGTAAGTGGCAAAAACAAGCACTTTCATCATTTGTAAATTGATGGTGCATATTTCAAATGCTGCCAGATGCAATTTCAAAAAATTGTTGCTCATATTAGTCACTTAGTAACAGTAATTGGGGATATAGGGTCTAGGTCAGTGATACTCAACAAACAGCCCACAGGCCAAATCTGGCCCCCGATAGTGAAAATAAATTGATTCACACTGGGATTTGTTTTGGACTTTTAATATAAATACAGTGACAGAGTGCATAAAAAGCATCAAAATAGGGCTGATTTATCAAAAAAAGTGACAGGAGAGGATCCGCGGAGTCCCCCGACAGAGGGCCAGTCTATACCCCAAATGACCTTATCATCAATCATACACAATCCACGCAATCCCCCCCCCCCCATGTTTTTTTTTTAAAGCAACTAAACTATGTTGATAATCAGACACTATATTTGTCAAAGTTATTTATCAAGCAGTGAAAAAAGCTACAATTTCTCAGCGTCTGGGAGGTTTGCTGCTTCTCCTTGTCATATATCATTGTACACAGAATATTTTGGGGTTTCGGACTTTTGTTCAGACAAAACAAGACATCGCGTTGGACTGTTGGCTGTTGTGATTGGCATTTTTTTTTTGTTTTTACATTTCATAGACCAGATGATTAATCGCCTCTTAATTTGGCTGTAATATTCATTTTGTACAGACATTTAACTCATACCCATTCTTGTCATTATGTCTTTAACAGACAACCGATGATATCACAGGCGTGTCTGAGATTGTCACTGTTATCGGTGAGAGGGATGATTCCATGGATGAAACGGAGGAATCGGGCAACGAAGGTGAAATGGATTCAGACGAGGATTGGAATCCAGCGGACAGGATTTCATTGGCTTCCAAGCTTCGTGATAAAACTAAGGAGGAAAGTGAAGATGAAGAGGAAGAGGAAGATGAAGATGAAGAGGAGAAGCAAGAATATGATGACTATCCTCCACTCCCCCTCAGATTCAGTCAGCTCTGCACAGAGTGTGGAAAGTTTGTGAATAAACACAAGCCTCACACGTGTGAGCACAAAATTAAACCCTATGCTTGCAATATATGTGGAAAAAGATGCGTTAGCGAGAACGCGCTGAATTTTCACAGCAGAGTCCACGACGAAAACTATGAATATCAATGTAAATTCTGCCATGCTACATTCAAAACAAAGGCGGGTAAATTCACCCACGAGCAGATCCACATAACTCAAGGAAGACCGTATAAGTGTCCTGACTGCTCAGAGACATTTGCCACAAATAAAGAACGTGCAGTCCACCTGGAGGAACACAGAGGCCCCCGACAGGTGGAGTGTCACATCTGTGGCATTGAATTCCGTTCGCCACCTTATCTCCAGAGACACCTAGCTGTGCACACGGGAGTGAAGCCGTTTAAGTGTTCAGTGTGCCAGCGCGGCTTCAACCAGGCAGGTCACCTGAAATCCCACATGCGTCTGCACACAGGAGAGAGGCCTTTTAAGTGTCAGCATTGTGACAAATGCTTCAATCACAACGTGAGCTTGAAGAGTCACGTCCAGCGTTACCACTCATCCAATCCTGCACCTGAACGGAAGAAGGGTAAAAGAAAGAAAACTGTGAGCGACGCTGCTGATGCTCAGGAGAATGGGAACAAGAGAGGTGGAGATTCAGGGCTCAACAATGTAGAAGAAGAACAAGACACAGAGGAGGAAGTGCAGGAGATAATATGCAGACCTCTGAATAAAAGTAGAAGCACAGGTAGACCCATAGGTAGGCCTAAGACGAAAGCAGCAAATGCTCAAGGCCAGCGTTCAAACAGTAAGACTGCCAAAGCGAAGGCACGGAAGCGAAAGAGATCACATTACAGTGATGAAGAAAGTGAGGACGAGCTGACGGAGGAAAATAGTGAGATAGTGACATCGAGCACAAGCTGATGAAGAGGAAACGCCAATAATCCTGAGAGTGACAGAAAAAGGTACAGCAGCCAGAACAGTGGTAACAACTCAGGGAAGTGCAGGGGACGACCAAGAAAGAATCAAGTCGTTGAAGACACTTATAAAGACATTTAAAAAGTTATTGAGCTGAGGACTTATTAAGATAAATACAGTTCAGAGTGTCATACAGACGTGGACGGTTTTTCATGACATATTTGAATAATATAACATGAGAAACTAAACATGCACACTCAGGCTGGGGACTTCTCAAACTTCATTAAGACATCATGTCACTTTGATTTCAAGATACTTTTGAATCCTGTTCACTGATGTGTATACCATGAAACTAATCTAGGCAAATTAGATTAAACTTTGTTGATGTTTAGCACCAGTTTCAGTTTTCCTTTGTGTTATAATGTTCAATAACTCCATAACACCATTATGTACTGCATAGGAAGCAAATACAGTGAGGACAATGTGTCGATACTGTGATATCAGTCAAGATGTTGTCTTAGATTCTGGATATTGTAAAATAGTAAGAGTTGTCGAAAACAGTGTGTAAATATTTTGTTAAAGCATCAGTAGTCAACCCTACAATATCACTGTGATATACACCCAGTGGCCACTTTATTAGGCACACCTGTTGGAGTCCAATGCAGCAGCTCTGTCATGTAGTCTACCTTTACAAAGTCTATAATGTTCAGTTTTTGTTGACATTGTCATTGTCAGAAAGAGGGGCAGAATACATATAAACAATGCCAGACGTTGCATATTTGGTGCCCTTGGTGAGCTTTTTGATTTTCTCCATATTGCCCAGTCCTGACTTCTTCACAACAAACTGCTTGAAATTGAAGTAACCAAGTGGAATTCAACCATCTCTAATTATATTACATTTACATCTGTGCTCTTCCTATAGTGACATGTCAAAATATCCTTTGCGAAGGGCCGCTGCCCCTTCGTGTAATACCCGAAGGAAACTTTTGAAAACTGTGAGGAGAAACAGATAGGCAGATAGAATGCAGTTTACATATCCAGTGTTTCTGTCTCCACCCCAATATAATGGGAGTGAAATGGCTTTAATTTGTGTTGCTCAGATCATTAAGGAATAACACTTATTCTGGATAGAGCTCAACTCCTTTAACCTTCATTGTTTTTGGAGGTATAAGAAAAGCATTGTCTCTAAATATGGATAAATACAACCAAATATGTCTGTAATGGTCAGATTGAGGAGAGGTCTACTATCACAGCCACTGAAACTTTACTTTTGCACACAAAGATTTATTGTTCGAACAGACGAACTTGTTTAGCAAAAAAGGGGGAGCAAACACACATGGGTTTAAAATCTGAAAGAAACAAATACAAAATTAGAACTTTAGTCAAATTAAACAAATGTCCATTTTAATGAGGGTAAATCATGCTCAGTTAAACTAATCATGCACAGGATAACCTAAAGAGAAAGAAACTGCTTACCAACACTGCCACACTATGTGAAGATGAAGAAAGAAAGAGTGAAATGGTGTTTAAATGGGTGAACAGGTGAATGAGTGAAAGGAACCAATCAATTTAGCCTAATGATATCTCTGGACTGCAGCAGCTGAAATGGACGACTTTGAACGCGATTTTGAAGAGTTTCTTGTTGCAGACACAGATCCAGAGCCATACCTGTTTGAGCCGGAGTGTACAGATGAGGAATTCCAGGTGTTGGATGCTGAGCGGGCGAGAAGAGAGGCTGTTTGTGACTGTCTTACCTTTTGCTAAATACCAAAAACACCGCAAATTCTCCTTGTACATAAACTTATCGCTAATCAGCTGAACTCCAGACGCAGCAACATAACGTTACCGACAAACAAATTTTGCAGAGTAATGTAACGTAGGGATATCAGTGTGGTTAGTCATTTCAACAGTAAACCCAAAAGCACTTTATAATATGATTAGAGTAAGTTACTTACCACAGCCTCAGGTGTTTCCCTTTGTCCTCTCTGTCTGCCGACGGATGGGTATGGAAGCCCATTTCCGCCACTTGATGGAAAAAAATAAGATCTAATAACTCAAAATAATGAGATACTAAGTCAAAATAATGACTTACTAAGTCAAAATAATGAGATACTAAGTCAAAATAATGAGATACTGAGTCAAAATAATGAGAAGTCAAAATAATGAGATACTAAGTCAAAATAATGACTTACTAAGTCAAAATAATGAGAAGTCAAAATAATGAGATACTAAGTCAAAATAATGACTTACTAAGTCAAAATAATGAGAAGTCAAAATAATGACTTACTAAGTCAAAAATAATGAGAAGTCAAAATAATGACTTACTAAGTCAAAAATGAGAAGTCAAAATAATGACTTGCTAAGTCAAATGAGATACTAAGTCAAAATAATGACTTACTAATTCAAAATAATGAGATACTAAGTCAAAATAATGAGAAGTCAAAATAATGAGATACTAAGTCAAAATAATGAGATACTAAGTCAAACAATGACCTACTAAGTCAAAATAATGAGATACTAAGTCAAAATAATGAGATACTAAGTCAAAAATAATGAGATACCAAGTCAAAATAATGAGATACCAAGTCAAAATAATGACTTACTAAGTCAAAATAATGAGAAGTCAAAATAATGACTTGCTAAGTCAAAATAATGAGAAGTCAAAATAATGAGATACTAAGTCAAAATCATGAGAAGTCAAAATAATGACTTACTAAGTCAAAATAATGAGAAGTCAAAATAATGACTTGCTAAGTCAAAATAATGAGATACCAAGTCCAATAATGAGGTGAATGAGTACAGTTACAGCCTTCGATAATCCATACTCTTCATCTCTCAGTCACGATGGACATCATTGAGGGATACTTACTCAAAACAATGAGTAATAACTCATGTACATCAGATATGCCACACACTACACTTTAATGTGACGTATGGGTATGTTTGGCTACTTAAGTAGTCTACAAATTACAAAATGTAGTAAAATAGTGTTGATTTTTAAGTGTTCTGTTTGGCTAAGACATAAAGTTAATTATACAACAGTTAGTTCCGACCCAGTAATTTGACTGGACGAGAAGCATTCCCTGAGTGCTGATATAGAGTATAACATCACTGGGACTTGTAACAGTAAAATCACTCCGCTCACAGGTGTTATAAATATAAACACAACCGTTAATTAACCAACTGTCACACTCGCTACATTGACACAAACTGACACTAGCGTTACACCAAGAAGATGGATATTTTCCCCCAAAATTACATTTGAATTAAATTATGAGTGGTCTTCAGGAGACGACGAGGAAAAGGACAGCCAGGACTCTTCTGTGCAGACCTCCAGGTGTGTTTGTGTAACATTAGCCGACCTCGACAAACTGGAGAGGAGCAAAAATTAAGCGAACACGGTCAGGAATGATCAATGATCATTTGATGAGCCTCTTCAAACACTTTGTGCTGATTTCAGAGGCCTCGTCATGCCTCGCTCTTATTAAACTGTTCTGTCTTGTTAGTTCGCTTAAAGATGCACCATCAACAAATGGCTAGAGCTAAGTGAAAAATATAATTTGCTGAATAAATCTATCATGCACACTGAACAAATTACCATATTATCAGTTACAAGCGGTCTCTGTCCTTAGTTTCAAACCTCTGTGACTCATGAGCCAAAGGACAATCTGACAAAATCATTCTACAAAATTCAAGTCTTAAATTGTGTGTGACTGATTCTCACATTTCCCAATACGTGGCAAAGTGATGCGACCAAACAGGAGGCTCACTTTGCATTTTGTCTTGTTGACCTTTATTAAAACTGCAGCTGAGTGGTAGTATTGAAAATTAAGAGCTTGTAGTAAACACACACTCAGCTTGATATAAACTCTGTCAAGCACCTGATTCACACCAACTGTTAAATGAGAGGCTTTAAAAATGACTCGACTACCTCTTGTACACAAATCCTCATTTGTGTGAAGTGTGTCAGTGCAACCTCATAGCACTAAGGTTTGCAGCTCATTAAAAGACAAAATAAACACTGTTTATTTCAGTACTCAAAACATTAGTCCACGTTTAGATCTGCAAACTGTCGGCATATCTAACGCACTCAGCAGCCTTGGGTTTGCCCAGCAACAGGCTGGAGACTCAAAAAAAACTTGATGGGCCATGATGCTAGCTTCAGCACTGGCACAGAGAGAGAAAGAGGAAGAGGATAAACATGTAAGCGTGGGGATTCATTCAGGCTTTACGATCAAAGTGGGAACTCTGAACACTCGTCCATTTAAATTCCGAATTGGAAGTTAGGGGAAAAAGTCAATCGCTCAATCGTCGTCTCTCCTTTGGCAAGATACCGAGCGCGCACCAGCTCCACTGGAGTTGGCCGGGGACCAGTTTGTCTGAGTTTGTTCATTGAAATGTGAACCTTTCCCTCACCACACTCTGTAAGCTAACGGACAAAGCAGGATGACAGACTCTCACAATGGCAGTTGGACACATTTATTTGTAATTTTTTTCCAATGTAAAAATCTGCAATCACATAAAGGCCCACACTGTTGTCTACAAATTGCATATGTTTAACATCATGTACTTGTTAGTTCCTGTGCGGTATGACAATGCACTTGCAGAGACTTGAAACATACTTGGAATAGAGAATTTAAAACACCGCTGTGAGGGTCCAAAGGACAGAGGGATGTCGTATGCTATAAAGCCATGTGAGGCTAATTGTTATTTGTGATATTGGGCTTTATAAATAAAATTGATTGATTGATTGAAAACAGTGAACTGTCTCCAGGACAATATTTATGTGTTTCTTTATTAACCGCTTTTTTACTTCCTTATATACTTGTGTTCCAATACAGGTGCAAGCAGACTCTGAGGTCCTTAAACATGTCCTATGATGAGTTTCAAAACAGTCCATAGTGATAAACCATAACTAACTTCTCTTCACTCACATGAATCAGATTCTGTATCTCAAACTAGTTTCAACCTTCAGCAACCATTTTTTTTAGGAAAACTAAGCCCCATTTCAACCTGGAAAGTAGCAAAACAATCCAAAATGCTCAGCAGCAATGTTAACAATTTGTAGCTGATGTGCTAAACAATACAAAACCATTGGCACTGTCCTTGCTCTCTGAGCCCACACTGATTAGCACTGAAGCTTAGGCTCAAGAGGTAAACCAACATTTCAACACTCCAAAACTTACAATCAGGTAAAATTATCCAACTGTTATATTTTTCTATAAATTCAAAGGCATTGTGTGAAAGGACTTTATCATTGATCGAGATCTATTACCCGACAGGTAAAATTGTGGAATACTAATTTATTTAAATAAAAGATGTAATAATGAAATGCTATCTGAACACTTTTTGATTCTTCTACAGACTAATAAATCACTCAAGTTACACAATGATGTAGCTTTATAGTGAATAAGTAAAGACAAAAGAAACAGTGGCTGTGCCACAGTGCCCTGACCTTGGTATAAATGTTGTTGTTTTTTTAGCTTGAAACTTACATTATTCTTATAATACATGAATATAGTACATATTTCCCAACGGTTATACCATTTTCTGACAGTCCTTTTTTTTATAATGCACTCGAACTCAATAGAAATATCTGATTTTTTTCCAAACGATTCACTGACTGACCCTCCAATACTGCACAGTAGAAGATGATTTAATTCAGGCCCTGTCAACAAATACACAGATATTTTTGTAAATGTATATTTTCCTCTACATTTTGGCCACTAAAACGACTGTGGGGGCGACTGAGGCTCAGAAGAAGAGTGGGTCGTCCACTATTCAAACTGTGCATACCCACTGCTGCTTTGTGTAATGAACATGTTAGTTTATGTTCTGTTAGCACTGCTTGGTCCAATGACTACTTTACACTTGCATAAGTACTGCTTCACCACTTTACAGATGAACAGAGGTATCTGCGGTGTTCAATGTTACTTGGTCAACCTCAACATCTGCAGTATAAAGTTGCAAGAAACGGTGGTTTTGGATCATTAGGAACGGTCAAACCAGCAGACAGTGGGACAGTTTTGAGAGTGGGATTGTTGTTGATGAGTAGTAGAAAGAAAACTTTCAATTGTCAAGAGCATTACTCGTATTTTTGAGTGAGCTCCTTTATCCTTATGGTAAAAGGGACTAAATGGTGATGAGATCTCCAGTCTAAGTTTTGAAAAATGTAACGTTAGCCTGTTAATATTACTGCATTTGCAACGACTGGGAGAAGGCCAACACTAATGAGCATCTGGAATTGCTTTTGTTTTCTAGTGTGTATGAAGATATTTTGTACAATAAAAATCGTGTGGACAGATTCTTTTTTTAAAACAGAGGGGGGAAAATATCAGCTTTTAAAAATATCTGTATATGTGTAGGCAGGGCCTCAGAAAGACGTTGGCCTGTGTGAATGTTTTTTTTCCTCATATTCCAAATTGTTTTACCACATTTTTGAGATGTATCAGTCCAGTTTTCTGCAGCTTCTTTCTTTTTCTCAAAACAAATTATTCAGCTGTGTGTTTTAAGCATTTTCAGACCTCTGGATTTTTCTTTGGCCTTCCCCTACGTTTCCCTGAGGTCTTACCGCTGCTCTGGCTGCTGTACCTCTTTTTCTTTGTTACTTCTTCTGGGTCAAAATCAGAGTCACTGTCATTTTTTGGTCTTCCTCTTGATTTCCCTGTGCTCTTCTTCACTGTCTCCTCCTCCTCTTCTTCTTCCTCCTCCTCCTCTTCTGGTGAGTCATAGGATATGTCACTGTCTGATTGTTCGTCTTCACTTTCCTCATCGCTGGAACCTGTTTTCTTTAACTTACGCACCTTTGATTTTGCAGTCTTAGTGTTTGAACGTGAGCCTTCTGTTTCCCCTGCCGGAATCAAGTTGCCTGCTGCGTCCCTCTTCGGCCTTCCTCTGGGTCTGCCTGTGGTCCTCTTTTTACTTTTGCGCTCTTCTGTTACCTCCTTCTGCACCTCCCCTCCTGCATCTTCTTCTGCATTGTCAAACTCAGAGTCTGTGCCTTTCTTAATCCCACTGTCCTCTGCATCGCCAGTGTCGCTGGTCCCTTCTTCCATCTTAACCTTCTTCTGTTCATGTCCAGAAGTCGATGAGTGGTAACGCTGGACATGACTCTTCAAGCTCACGTTGTGATTGAAGCTTTTCTCACAATGCTTACACTTAAAAGGCCTCTCCCCTGTGTGCAGACGCATGTGAGATTTCAGGTGGCTCGACTGATTGAAGCCACGGTGGCACACTGCGCACTTGTAGGGTTTCAATCCCGTGTGCACGACAGAATGTCTCCGCAGATGATGAACATCCTTAAATTCAATCCCACAAACTCCACATTTGTACTCCTTCGGGGCCCTTCTGTGATTCGCCAGGTGGGCTCTGCGTACTTTACTGCTGGCAAATGTCTTTGGACAGTCTGGACATTTATAGGGTTCTTTGCAATCTTGATGGATCTGCTCATGTTTAAGTTTGTCCACCCTCGTTTTGAAGGTAACGTGGCAGTATTTGCAAGGATGCTCATAGGTTTCATCATGGATTTTGCTATGATTTTTCAGAGACGTCTCGGTAACACATCTTTTGCCGCAGATATTGCAGGAAAAGGGCTTTATTTTGTACTCACAAGTGTGAGGCTTCAGAATATTGAAGAAACTTCCACATTCTGTGCAGAGCTCATTAATTTTGAGGCCACCTGGGGAATCAAACTCTTCTTCCTCTCCACTTTGGTCTTCATCTTCATCTTCACTTTCCTCTTCAGAATGCTTTGTGAGCTCTTCCGCCAGCAAAACATCCTCGGTTGGATTCCAATCCCCATCGGAACTCACCCCACCGTCATCACCTTCCTCTCCTTCATCTGACGGATCACTTTCTTCATCACTAAAGGTAACAACTTCAGAGAACACTGTGCTGCTGGGGTTGTCGTCTGTTGGCATTTCCTGTGAGCAATACAATGACAAGAATGACAACCTAGCACGACTTTTTCAAATCTATACAGCACAGAATATTACAGCCACATTACAAAAAAAGAGGCAGCTAGAGGAAAAAATATGATTTTTTTAATCTAATTGAGCTGAAAACTATACGAGAAAAGTCCAGAAGCCACCAGTTTAGGGAAGCTCTCCACAGACACTACCCAAAGGAGAGATGATGTGACACTTTACATTATGCATTTATTCCTCATTACTCCTTTCAAAAGAATGAGCTCCGACGGCCACTGGCTGTGAGCACGTCTGCAGCTGCTCTGCCGGGCTGTGATGTTCCTATTTTTTGTTAAACCTATGAAGCTACAGATGTACTGTGAAAACTCTTTACTGCTTCTGTTAACATTAGCCAAGAAAACCTCATTAAGCCACACAGGATTTGAACCTGCTGTGCTTCTATCAGATATGACGGATGCGGTAATACACCGCAGAAGGTTAGAGCACAGTTGCTTCAATAACTTGTTTGCAGTAATGTGACTATTATGACGCGTGAAATTCAGATGCAGGGCAGGAAGTGATAAATCTAAATACTGGAAATTGAGGAATGTGCCTACATAAAAGGGAAGGATGAACCTGCAGGCAGCAGCTATCACCCAAAAACTGACGCTCTTGTTGGATGTGATCCATACAAACGAAAGAAAAGCAAATTTCTTCTAAAACTTGACTGACTTGCCCAATGTGGGAAGGATCGCCATTACACATTACCTTGTCCTCCAGACCTCCTAATCTTATGTTGCACAGAAAGCCAATGAAAGAGTCTAGCGGACTTTAACTCATTTGTGTGTGGTTGGATCCTCGACCGAAATGACTGCCATCTTGTTTTTGGCTGGGTAAGTAAATGTCCTTAAGTATAACTGTCCTTTATATTTCAACTCTGTGCACAGATGCATCGCTGTCAGGATAACATTACTAGGTTCACCATTGCCAGATGTCTGGTGAAATGAGGACTAGGGAGACTGAAAAAGTATGGGGAAAAAATTCTGTGTCATGGCTAAAA